GCTGAACAAAACCACTCAGTGAGGTGAATTTGGTATTTTTTCCGTACTAATCTCCATCTTCTATGTAGGAGCCCAAAATATTCTCAATGAAACATAACATTAATGTTTGTGGAGATTTTATAGACACAATGGATGATATTGGAACTGTTCAAGTTACTAATCTTTCTCCTGGTGAATCACACTCAAAAACGATATTTTTCATTGCTAAAGGTGAAGGTGTCACTGATGAGGGCAATGCAGCTATCACTAATAATGACAACACTATTGAATGCATTAACTCCAATTAGTAATATTTGTGTTGTTCCATTTTATTTCATTTTATCATGTATGATATTGGCATTAAGTATTTTACTAATTTTTTTTGATATTTTGAATGTGATTTTGATATTGTCAAAAAAATTTTTTTATAATCATGAAGTTTTTTTAATGATCGCATATTGTTTTATGATGTTTGTAATGAAAATTATATATTTATATTAATATATTATTTAATATAAAAAACATTACCATGTTGCACTATGTCCTACTTTTTGCAATTATACTGCGTCGTATCATATCATTTCGTGTCTGAGCCCGTACTTCATATATACTATAATACTATAATGCCATCAACATTATCAATTATAATAATCATATTATTGACATATCAAGAAGGCAAAATATAGAGTTAGAGAGCAATTAAGAAAAATCGTGAAGTGTAACTACAACAATAGCAAAATAAAATAATCACAATAAAGAACTTCTCATGCCAAATAAAACATAAAGTGTCTATTTAAGGCCATATAATTCTCTGCTTAAATTTGCAAACTTTGCATAATGTTTAAGAAAATACTAAGAGAAGGAAATATATCAACCACTTGTTGAAGGCCATCATTAAAAAAAAAAAAACATTTATTACATTCATATGAGGGATATATTATTAACAGACTAATGCAATAATAATATGAGTATGAGGAGAAATCATTTCTATAATATAAAGAAAAGTTCCCTATAAATCATACCATACTGTAGAAGGAATCCATTAACAACCAATAATGCTTCATGCTGCACAATAGATCCATCAAATTTAATTTTGAACATATAAATCCAATAGGAACTGATTTTACTTTTAGTATTAGTAGGACTTTCAATTCCCAAGTATACTTTTTTTATTATGAAGTGTAGAGAGTTTCTCAACCATAACCTACGACAAAAAGGAATTAAAACTTAACTAGTTAAAAGATAGAGACTTGAACAATAAATATGAATAGAAATTGAAAATGATATAAAAGAATGAGAATAAGAAGAGCATGTAAACTATAATAAATTTGTTGACTTACCAATGCATTGAGAATGATGAGACAAGAAATCTAAGTCTTAGGAGGTCTAGAGTGCGCATCAAAGGAGAAAAAATAATAGTAGTATTAGGAACTAAAGTAGTGTCATATCTAATAGAGTATTATCATTAAGGAAAAGATCATGCTATTAAAATCAAATTTAGACATATTGTAAGAATTAGATGGAATAGAAAAGATAGAAATATGCTAAAAGAAGCAAATATGATGAGTTACATATAATTTCTAATAGGGTCAAAATAATAATATCCCTTCTGTCCCTTAACCATGAAAATATATAGTAAAATAAGAAAATAAAGTGGCACATTTTATATATGCAATAATGACAAAATATGTACAATGAAAGACTTACATGAAAGAAAAATCAGGATCATAATCAGATTACCTTGTAAAGGGTGATAATCCCCCGTTGTCAAATGTGGAATTCTATTAATGAAATTAACAGTAATAAGAACTAATTTCCATTAAATTTTTCTAGAGTATGAGCAAATAAAAAGAAAGAAGAAGCAATTCAAAAAATATGTCTATGTTTTTATTTAACATGATTTTATTGAAGACTATCTTTGCAAAAAGTTTGATGACTATTCCATTACAAATAAGCAAGTGACAATTTACTAGAATCATATTTCCTTCCCAAGTTATATTTAAAATATTTTATGATAGTTGACTATTTCGTTTTAACAAGTTCAAAAAATGCATTTTAATTACTCCAAAATTCAAAATGATACTTTCATAAGATAAATTCATTAATAACGGGTGCAATCAAAAAAGAAAATGACATAGCATCGAGAGCCTACTTCGTAGCAATTGGAGAAGGCACCTATACATCATAATTAGCAAATCAAGTGGTTGAATAAAATAAGAGATAATTCTGTAAAACAATGCAGAAAATCTTGTCAATTTGTAATTACCTCAATAAAAAATATCAAGACTTCATTCTCCTACAGAAACTAAACATTTCAAACAGGGCTGTAGTTACCTCAATAAAAAATATCAAGAGTTTATTCTCCTATAGAAATTAAATATTTCAAACAAATAGATAAAGCGCAACTGAAATAAGAATACCATAAATAAAAACTAGGCAAGGACTTGAATAGAAGGAAGACAAATAGAATATAATATTTTATAGTTGTAGTTCATCCAAAATAAAGTAACCAACTTGCCTAAGGCCTATCTCAATTAATTTTTCCCTGCAGACCCTGTACATAAAAAGAAATGGATAAAAATGAGAGGGTGCAACAAAAATCACAAAATTGACCAAGAAAGACAAGATTTAATATAAAATGTGGAATAAATATGTATTAAGATGTGATAGTAGAACTAACCCCTACCAAGGGCAAACGAGTGTCTTCAACCATCATGATAGGATAGGGATTGTAAGGATAAAAAATAATAATAATAATTACGAAGAAAATATATGTTCAAAATTATTTGAGTCTGATACACAAATAGAGTTAAACATGAAGAACTTGGGGGTTAACAAAAGCAGGAATAAGGTATGATTTTTTGGCCAGGAGCTTTCCAAATTGATCAAAAAAGGAATCGTATTGAAGATTTTCAAGATAATGATTGCTGATCGATGACTAATGATCATTAACATATAGTTATCTTGACTGCTTCTATACCTTCTGATATGCCTTCTAAATGGATGAGATCTCCTTAATGACTTTCACCTTTAAATCAATGTCAACTACCACCACCTCCACTTCCATCATTATCAATTTGAGAATGAGAGGAGAATCTTCATCCACCATATGAACATTCATGAGTCCAATGTTCTAGGTATCCATAGTAAAAACAATCAGACTAACCATCATGATAACATATAATTCACCCATACTTCTTAACTTCCTTGCAGCATGAAAAGATGGATTTTGCTCCCATTAATCCCTGCCAGATACAATAAATCCAAAATTGTAAGCATAACATTCTGTAGGCATTATCCCAGAGAAAAGCTTTACGTCCAGCTGAGCGAAAATGCTGGACCAAATATGACATCATATATGTTTATTTGGATGTCCTGTTAAGCTTTATTTCGGCATATATCACTCCAACTTAAAAGATATCTAAAGAAATGGAATATTGCTGTAAGAAATACATTATAGCATGAAGAAAGAAAATATGCATAGTGCATGAGGAGATGAAGGGGCAACTGCTTTATTAAGCCTCGTGGAATTTCTGCTCATTGGTTTAAGATATTTTAGACTAAATGTTATAAGTGTTTTCCTCAATCCCAAATCTAATGAAATCTTCTATTGAATTTCAAATATTAAATTATTCATTTATTTAGATAGAAACTATCGCCATTTAATCATACGGGGCACACAATTGATATCAATACCATTGACAAAATCTATTCTTTGAAAATTTCTCCCATGATAATGTATAGCAATAATTCAAATTTGATCTGAATTTCTGTTCATGTGGCTTTGAGGCCTTTTTATGATTTTTTTTGCTTAAGATATGTTTGCTGTGGACGTGTGGTGGCTATATGCCATGTAGTGGCAAGGTGAAGAAAAACAAATACCCCTAGAGTTTTGTCTCAGCAATGAGGTAAATTCCGTAAATGTTTCTTTTATGACTATAAGCGGTTAATTTACACATTATGGCATTGAATGGAAATCGTTTATCTAATTTGCATCATCGCCATCACAATCGTCAATACCTATTCTTGAGGTTTTGTCTCTGATCTGAGTTTGGAAACTATATAACAGGCCAGGTAGCTAACACTATAAGCTTTTCACGACTGATAACAAGGACAAACTGCACGAGAATATAGAAACTCAAAGAATTAAATTATAAATTATAGTGTTGCACAACATTCAAATCCTTGCAAATAACAAGAGAAAACAAGAACTTTCAATTTATAATGCCACTGTTTTTCTGTAATGTAGGAGATAATATGCAAAAACACAAGAAAGTTTAAACCATATATATAGCATGCCTAGACTAAGATTCTGGTGTTACAGAGAGATTTAGGGATCGACCTCTGTTTGTATCCCTGCAGCCCTCAATTAAATAGTTCCAACTAAATAGTGTTCACAATATGAAGGTGTGCAGCATCGCACATGCCAATTATTTGATACCAATCATAAAGTTTCATTCTGTCATACTTCAGCAAGAAATTAAAAGAGAATGATTCAGTTAATAAACACGGATAGCCTTCAGTTAGTATCTATTTCATGTAAGAGAATCTGTATCAGTACTGAATTGAAAATAGATATATACTAGGATTTCATCAATTAGTATCGATTTAAATTGGCTTCCAGGTCTTCTGCGGCTCTGGCAACTCTGTTGCCATGCTTTTTGCTTCAAGCTGGATTCAATATATACATAACTCAATGTCATAGCTTCATCGTTATTGTGTCTTGTCTCTTCCACATTGTATGACAACCCTTCCTGAGTTCGCTCCTTCAATTATGGTTTCTACAATCAGGAATTCATGATCTGCCTTCAGCAAGTGCATTCCTCTTTCCTGCATAGCCATGATTTCTGAAATAGAATATTTGTTGATGCATAAGAACTGACACATCAGAAGATTGAAATGGATGAGAGATGGAAAGCTTGAGCCTCGATGATGCATGTTACACCAATTCAGCAGATACCACAATCAATCAGCTTCTACCATCACTAGCTGGTTATACTACTCAGCCAGGTTATGAGCCGCTGCTACAACGAGCTTATGTATTGCCACCTCAGCCACCATATTGCTATCCTCCTCCCACCGCATAGTCCGGCAACTGGTTATCCTCCAGTAGGAGCCTAGCCACCAGCTGATTACCCTGGCTATATTATCCAGTATTCAGCCTACCCACTGCCGCATTGTTCTGCATCATGCTTTTGAGATTGATGAGTTAGTAGACTATGATGATTCACCTTACATGGATGCTTTATTGATCTCTCTCCCATTTCAGAGGTACTAGCAGATGTTCACAAAAACAATTACTACAAAGACTCCGTGAACAATTTAGGGGTGTCATTTCATTATGTCAGGTTGGATTTATTTGACAGAAAAACTATTTGCTTCCCCAGTATCACTAATATTAGTTTGCAGAAAATCTGTCTTCATCATTACCATGGTTGGAATTTGGAAAGTTCTGAAGTTGTAAAAGACATGGTATTATTGACATATTCTCTCCATTTAATTTTGAGATGAAAGTACATATTGAAAAAGAAATTGATTACAATACAATGAACCAACCAAGCAACGCTTCCTATCGTCCTTTCGCTTTAATTATCAAATCAAAGTCTTCCTAATCAATTGAACTACACAAAGAACTGTGGCGTGCATATTAAAAGACCGATGAAGGAAGAAAAATCAGTTTGTTAAGGTCGGGATGGTAAAATATGTATCAATACTCAGTAGAAATTTGGGTAGCTTAATAAGAAACATAGTGGCATGTCCACCTCCTTCGAATTTAGAAATGAACAAAAACATGAAAAAAAAATGATTATCATAAGAATTTGCAAGAATAACATTGCATTTCTTTGTTGCAAAGAGTCTTGATACAAGAGCATGGGAGAACATAATTTAATCTCCTAGATCATTCAGGAGTATGGCTACCTACATACCATTCCATATTTACAGTTGTCAACAGCTACATGCATCCCAAAACTGGAAATCTGAGATAAATAAAGCTAGCTGTGGGATTGCATCAGCTTCATCAATTTCTTTAGATTTCTGGAGATCAACAAGCATAACTGCAATGACAGAAGGCATGACCTCAATAATGGTAGAGCATCCAGCTACCAAAGTAGAGGCAGCAGCTTCTAGCAATTTCCATAATTTAGAATCCTTCAAAGGTCACCGAATATGTGTTCTACCAAGAGAGAAGGCTCCAATCTGGCTCACAGTGTTCTGCACTCAAAATTAGTGTTACTTCACAGCAGACTTCCTTGCTTGACAAGTCATAATAGGAAACACGAGAACAAAAAAAATAGTGATTACTAACAAAATATAGCATAGAAGTCATCAAAGGTTACAGACGATATCTGTATAATGGATTTGCGGAGCTTAAAAACATTTAAGATCACCAAGGCCAAGCATATTAGTATCACAACAAAGTATTTAATTTAGGTTTGAACATCAAAAACCTGATATTTAGGTGATGGAAACACATTCCAAAATCTTAGCGTCTCATCTCCAGCACCGGTGACAATTGTCTGCAAAAGCAAACTTTCAAGTACCGAACAAAGAGTGTCACAAGCAATTTGTCATACAAAAAATTACATAAGAAAATTAGTTTAACCTGTCCGTCTGGTGATATTGCCAGATATAACACTCTAAATGTATGACCAGTAAGGGCGGCAACCTGAAAAGCAGATGTATGTGAATGAGAAAAAAAAATTTTTAAAACTCAGACAATAATTCACCATAGCTTGCATAGATTTTCTGTACCTTTGACATGGCTGGGTACCGCCAAATTATTATTTGATTCTGGGAATATCCATGAGTGCTCACGATTTCATTGACATTTTTTGACCATACAAGATTACATACCTGTATAAAAGGTGATCCTTTAGAAGTTTCAAAAGCACCTATTTTTTACTTTCATAAGAAGTAAATTTCAAGAATTTGTCTTCTAAAATAGGCTTTAAGACAATCAACACCTAAAACTACTTCATGAAAAAAGAAAAAGGAAGAATAGACCTCGTTAATCAGAAATTTCTACCCAAAAATATAACTGGGAGGATGTGAAACAATGACAGGCAGAAGGCCCTGAATTGAATTTAAAACTAAAATCCAACGAAACTATGATGCTATGTTGTAAGAGGTTCACAAAGCAAGGAATTAACATTCCAGGTATGAAGAAAGCCCAAAATATGAGGTTGTTCTCAACTAGCCATGAGACCTGAGGAACTAACGAAGATGTCAAATGAATGTATCAAAGGTAGCAAGGACAAGGAGATCTCTCTCCCAATAATGATGTCATTCACATTGAAAAGTGAGAATAAAGCCCCTTAGAACTTATCTGCTAGAGAAGAGATCAACGTTAATCTTCCTTTTATAGGAATCACATGGATCTATACACCATCATCTAGGCAATGTTTGGTAGCAAGTATTCCAAGTGTAATGCAAATGAAATGAAATACATAATTTTAGTTTAAATTTTATTTAGAATGCTTCAGAATTTTAAATACTTGCAAATAAATAGCCTCTACTGTTCATGCTGTTCTTTCAAGCAAATAATGATGCCTACCCATTTTTCCCATTATAAGAATAGTAAAGAAAAAAAAATTATCGCATCATGCATAAGCACAGCCTTAATATTTCTCTCTCAAAACCACAAATTTTTATTCACCTGATTCAAAACCATTTTGAAAAGCAAAGTGTTTTTTATGAAGTTTTACCAACGAAGCCATTATGACAATTTAAATCTGCATCCAATTACCTAAGAACAATCAGGATGCTCTTACGGGGAAGAGGCAACTATCTTTAAGCTGCATTGATACTTTGGATAGGTTCTTCTCTACAAACACAAAATTGGTTCACTGGAATGATACAACAAAAAAAATTCAATCTTTATTTTGACCAAAATCCTGATACGGTTATTCCAAGGCATTCCCAGCATCAACTCTCTACATACCCAATTTTTGTCCTTGCAACCCAATCCTTCCAATAGGATGTGTCCTTAAAAAAGGAAACGAAGATGACAAAGATGCTCATCTGGATCCTATATAGTGTCGCATCAAGTGTCAGGGGATGCAAACTGCCCCCCTAGGCCCAATGTGGGAGCGGCTAAGGCAACAAAGGGCAAAATTATATTTCATGAGAGGCAACACTGATATTTCGGAATGGGCGAAAGTCCAAATTATCCTCACAATCTAAATTTGAGAGAGGGGGGGGGGGCAACTCTTCTCCTTTTTCACTATCATTCATATAACATATACTTCTATAATGCTTTTGCTACATGTCAAGCTTAATCAACTCATCTTCTATGAAGATCTCACACAAGAATGCTAAACTAATAGTGGATGAATTGCTTGACATCTATAGAGTTGTGGCGGTCAAAATTAAAAAGCTTAAGCTAGAAAAATGAAAAACACTCGAAAAATTGAATATTCAATTTGGAAATCAGTTTTGACTTTAAGTAAAGTTTCATTTTAAATTTACACAAATTGATTGGTTTGATTTTCCTTAACTTTAGGTGCTTGTGAAAAAATTGAATTATAAACATATATAGCATCATAATATTTGGTTCACTTCCAATGAGTTGCTCAGAACTTATAAAGTACAATAAATGAATTGACCTATACGAATCATTACCGAGATGAGGTTTTCCAAGAAAAACTCTTTTCTGAACCTTTTCTTCTTGGCAAAGTAAATCTTTCTTTGGTCGATAGGCGAATATTAAGAGAACACGATATTATGACATTAAAATTATAACATCAAGTTTTTTTATGCCTTTAAAGAAGAAAAAAATGTGAATCCTTGGAGAAGGTACATGACATCAAGATATTGAAATCATTTATTGCATTACCTATTATTTACATATACTCGTCCAATTCACAATAGAAATGAACTTATTCTTCGGATCATCATTGTTGTCTTAATGGTATTATGTGAAGCCTGATTGTGATAATCAATTGTTTACTCAAAGCCTTCAATTTCACCACTCAAGCTTGATGGCGAGTTTGTCGCGCAGAGAGGGAGGGTACAACGGGTGTCCCTTCTGCATTGGATTTTGGGGTGCTGCCTCCGAATTTCTTTTTTTCAATATGTAGAGCCTTGGTGACCAGAATGCTGCCCCACCATCCCCAGCATAAGTTCAGAACCCGAGAGCATGACACTGCAACGTCCGAAAGTTAGCGAACTAACGCCCATTAGAGTGTCGCAACACCAATATCGTGATGCCCCAACGTCTGTAATCGAATTTGAGTAGTTCACAATTTAAAGTTCCGGTTTAGCCGATTGGATTTGTGTGGATTTCAATTTTCTCATTTAAAGGAGAGAAAAGGAGTATCCCAGAGTTTCCAAAGTTTGAAAATGTTTGGGCGTATTATAATTTATACAATTCTTCTTATTTTCTTCATAATGGATTTCTTGATGTGATTTAGCTCCATAAGTTTTTCCCGTTCTTGAGTTTTTCCACCTTAAATCTTGTGTTTTCTATATTTTTTCTTTATTTTGTGCAATTTTGTTCAAAATTTTGACGTCGGCTTCTAGAATTTGTTTCCGTAATACACATCTCTCACAACAATAAATCCAACACTTTATGCATAGGAATACGATTTAATAATTTTAAGAAGCACGAGCTTCTTTCTATTTAATCTTCAAACAATACCATCCTTCTAAATTTGAGAAAACGATAGAAATTTTTTTAGTTGGATTGATAAATTCGAAGATGGCTATGTTGTTGAATTAACCTTGGGCATCATCTAATTGATTCCAAGATGGCTATGTTGTTGAAGCAAAATTAGGATTGTGCTCGGATATTTTGGCGATTTTGTGCATGCAATATCTCTCATTCAATGTGGGCAAGCATAAGATATTACTTTAAAGAGTTGATTGCAAAGATTAGATGCAGGCATACGAACCTTCTCTTTTAAATGTCAATAATTTTTTCACAAATTTAGTTCACATAATAAAACTTTAAACTTCAGTTTGAATACCATAAAATTTTATAACAAAATAGCCTCATTAGTCATTATGAATTGATCTTTACGATCATACATAGGTTATCAAAAGAGGCCCTTCTACATTACAAATTCATAAAAATGCTCATCAACTTATGAAAAGTTGATAAGTGAAACCATGCTATAAAAGATCCTTCCATTTTTATGATCCAAGTGTGCTCCCAAAAATGTGGTGTGGTCCACTCCCCCTTCTACTTACTTCTTGCAGAAGTTTAGGTTTCTTCCTCGAGTCCCAAAGAAGGGACAAATACTGAGTTTTGCCTCATCATTGACGATCATGCTCACGAATGAGAAGACCCCAAAGGGTTATTTCAAGGCTCTTGTAAAGGTCATCAGATACTAAAAGAATTAATGATCGGGATATGAGGAGGTCAAGGAGCTTAACTTCAGGACCTTCCCATTTTAAAAGTCAATGAGGCATGCGATCAAGGGATATGTGACCGTATCTTGGATGGAAGAACATCATCATCAATTAGGCACACTTCCATAGAGATGGTACAATGGGCATCAAAGCCAGAAGAGGAGATTTAGTAAAGGCTTTAATAGTTTCAGTGGCTATCTATCAAGATAAATGGATAATGTTAACTAGAGTTCCAATGGTATTTAGAAGAACAAGTTATATCATATTAGTGTCATCCCCTGATATATAGATAATTTTGTTGGAGCGCGAGCTCTCACATTTTCAATAAACACGTGTTAAAATCATAATTTATATCAAAAGCATCTTTACAAAATATTGTTTGCATAGAAATCATAAAAGAGAAATAGAAAAAAATATATGTAAGGGCACTTTTAAAATTTGTTGTCGATGAACAAATTTCATTAAAAACAACAACAAGCCTTTATCCCACTAAGTGGAGTATGCTACTTGAATCCTTTTTCTCTATCGCATCCTATTGAGTGTCATATTATCAATTAATTCTAATAAATTAAGACCAATTTTTATACGATATGCTCAAGTCTTTTTAGGTCTACCTCTGCCTTTCTTAACATAAGTTGAATATAAAACATCTACTCTCTTGACCGGAGCATCAGATGGTCAACTTATAATGACCAAACTCTCTCTAATCTTGTCCGCCACTGGAGCTACATCAAACCTATCACGAATATATTCATTTCGCATTTTGTCTCTAAGTGTCAAGCCACTCATCCAACAAAGCATTCTCATCTCAACAACACTTTACTTTATTATATACTTCTCTTTGAAAGACCAACATTCTGCCCCATAAAGCATTTGCAACTCTCACCACCATCTTATAAAATTTTCCTTTCAGTCTAAGCGGTACTTTCCTTTCACACAATAGGCCCGATGCATTCCTCCACTTCAACCAACCAACTTGAATTCTACTAATAACATCCCCATCGATATCAACATCACTTTGAACAATAGACCCGAAATATCTATAACGTTCACCCATAGTTAGAACTCCGCCACTAGAGCTACTACTACTAAAATTACATTCCATGTATTCTACATTCCATGTATTCAACCATGTATTCAACTTTAGTTCTACTCAAATGAAGGCATTTAGACTCCAATGTAGACCTTCATAATTGAAGTTTTTCTTGAACTCTTTCTCTAGTCTATCTACAAGAAGGATATCATCAATGAAAAGCATACAGCAATGTACACCATCCTGTAAATGTCAAGTAAGAGCATCCATAACTAAAGCAAAAGATATGGGTTTAAAGCCGATCCCTGAAGTAATCCAACTAAAATAGAAAAATACTTGGTCAATCCTCCTTATGTCCGAACATAAGTATCAGCTCTAGTATACATATCTTTAATGACCTGAATATAAGTCATATCAACACTTCTATTCTCTAGAACTCTTCAAAGGACTTCTCTTGGAATCATTATCA